TTAGCCTCTATGTTCATCAGGGATATTGGCCTATAATTCTCTTTCTTTGTAGTGTCTTTCTCTAGTTTTGAAATTAGAATAATGCTGGCCTCATAAAAAGAGCTTGGAAGTATTCCTTCCTTTTGGATTTTTTAGAATCATTTGAGGAGGATAGGTGTTTATTCTTCTTTGAATGTTTGGTAAAACTCCCCTATGAAGCCATCTAACCGAGACTTTAGTTTGCTGGGAGTTTTTCTTAATCACTGCTTTTATTTCATCAGTTATTATTGGCCTATTCTGGTTTTCTGATTCTTCCTGCTTCAGTTCTGGAAGATTGTATTTATTTTGGAATTTATCCATTTCATCCATATTGTCCAAATTGTTGCTACATAATTGTTCATAATATTTTCTTACAATTCTTTGTATTTCTATGGTGTCAGTGGTTACATCACCACTTTCATTTCTGATTTTATTTAGTTGTGTCCTCTCTCTTTGTTTCTTGATGAGTCTGGCTAATGGTTCATCAATCTTGTTTATCCTTTCAAAGAACCAGCTCTTGGTTTCATTGATTTTTTTGTATTATTTTATTATTATTATTATTATTTTAGTCTAGTCTCTATGCCATTTATTTCTGCTCTAATCTTTATTATTTCCTTACATCTACTTACTAAGGCTTTTCTTGTTGTTTTCTTTCTAATTCTTTAAGTTGTAGGGTTGGATAACATTATCTCCTGATGGTTCAAAGGTCGAGTTGCATGGGCCTGGGCTGTGTGCAGTGGGAGGTTCTCACCACCCTAGTGTCACTGAAGAGCTCTGGCCCTAAGATGTGTGGTTGTTGTTGGTTGGTGGGAACCAGGCTCGCTCTGTGCCAGTGTTGCCAGCGCTCAATGTGGCCTCGTATGTGCCCTTAGAATTAGGGACCCTGCCTGCACTGTGCTGAAATAGAGGCCCCCCTGGATCGTGTTGAAAACCAGAGCCCCCTAGCTTGAGCCAGGAGTCAGAGTTCCCCAAGAGTCCAGTATCAGAGTCTCTGTTGCTTCGCGCGACCTTGCCTAGAGAATCAGGGTCCCTGTGTGCCCTTGCACCAGGAATTGGATTCACTGGCTCTTAGTATGAATGCACAGGGAATCAGGATCTCAGGCACAGATGATAAGAAACACAGTCAAGTCACTGGTGCTTGGTGCTGCCTCCTGCCCCGAGAAACGGGGTCCCTGGGACTGTGCTAGGCAGACAAATTCCTGATCGAGTGATTGCTCCCAGCCCAGGGCTCTGATGCCCGCAGTGCGCACAGGATTAGTTCCTGGTGCTGTGCGCGAGTTTGCTCCCAGCCCAGGGCTCCAAAGCCCGCAGTGCTCGTAGGATCAGTTCCAAGGTGCTCGCGCACTTCCAGGCCAAAGTTCCTGCAGCGCTGAGGCCCCGGCAAGGGGTAGGTCTATCAGTTAGTTACTCTGGCGCTGCCCGTGAGCCTGGGGGAAGGGGAGATGGGCTCTGTTATCACGGATCTGCCGCAGGGATTTCTGTACTTTTGGTGTCCGAAGATCTGTAGCCGTGGTCGCAGGTCTCTGTCCCCAGTGGCTGCAGGGTCCTGGTATGCCGGGTTGGATAACATTAAAAGTTTTTCTTGTTTTTTGAGGTAGGCCTGTAGTGCTATGAACTTCCCTCTCAGTACTGCTTTTGCTGTGTCCCAGAGATTTTGGGTTGTTGTATGTTCATTTTCACTTGTTTTCAGTGTGTTTTTTTATTTCTTTCCTGATCTCGTTGGTAACCCATTCATTGTTTACTAACATTCTACTTAGGCTCCATGTGTTTGAATTTTTTGGTGGGCGGGGTGTTTTTACTGTAGTTGATTTCTAATTTCATTCCACTGTGATCTGAAAAGATGCTTGATATGATTTCAATTTTCTTTAACTTGTAGAGACTTGTTTCATGTCCTAACATGTGGTCTATTTTTATGAATGATAAATGTGCACTTGAGAATAATGTATATTCTGTAGCTTTGTGGTGAAATGTTCTACAAGTCAATTAAATCCATCTGATCCAGTGTGTCCTTTAGAGTCACTGTTTCCTTGTTAATTTGTTGTCGGGAAATCTACCCAGTGAAGTCAGCGGGGTGTTAAACTCCCCTACTATAACTGTGTTGTTGTCAATCTCTCTCTTAAAGTTCTTTATAAGTATTTTAAAAATATATTTAGTTGTTCCTATATTAGGTGCATATGTTTACCAAGGTTATATCCTCTTGTTGGATCAATCCCTTTAGTATTATATAGTGACATTTGTTGTCTCTTGTGATGGCCTTCATTTTGATGTCTATTTTGTCAGCCATGAGTATTGCTAACCCAGCTTTTTTTTCTTTTGCATTTGCATGGAAAATTTTTTCCCATAACTTCACTCTCATCTTGTGTGAGTCTTTTGTTCTGAGGTGGTTCTCTTTTGATAACATATAGTTGGGTCATGTTTTGTATCCATTCAGCTACCCTATGTATTTTGATTGGAGCATTTAATCCACTTAAATTTAAGGTTATTATTGATAGGTACTTATTTATTGCCATTTTAATTCTGTATGGCTAGGTTCTCTCTCTATTTCTCTCCTTGTTACAACAGTCATTGAGCCTTTCTTGTAATGCTGGCTTGGTGGTGATGTACTCCTTTAGCTTTTTTTTTTTCCCCTGGGAAGCTCTTTATTTCACCATCTATTTTGAATGATAGCCTTGCTGGATATACTAATCTTGGTTTCAGATCCTTGCTTTTCATTACTTTGAGTGCTTCTTGCCATTCCCTTCTGGCATGTAGAGTTTCTGATGAGAAATCAGATGTCAGCCTTATGGGAACTCCTTTGTAGGTAACAGTTTGCTTTTCTCTTGCTGCCTTGAAGATTCTCTCTTCGCCTTTAACTTTTGGCATTTTAATTATGATGTGTCTGGTCATGGGCCTGTTTGGGTTCTTCTTGCTTGTGGTTCTCTGTACCTCCTGTACTTGTGTGACATTTTCCTTTACCAGGTTAGGGAAGTTTTTGGCCATTATTTCTTCAAACACGTTCTCTATCCCTTTCTCCCTTTTTGCCTCTTCTGGCACACCTGTTATGCCAGAGTTTTTGTTCTGGCATTAAGAAGGGTTCAGCAATCTGGAGAAAGGCTGTGGGTAACTTAAATAGTCAAGAGACAAAATATAATTTTGAAAGGGATATGGGAGTCAGAGGAGCTTAGCTAAAAAGAACTTAGATCTCCTTGTCTCAGGACCCCATGCTTTTTATTAACACAAGTTGTCCTGAGGCGAGGCAGAGATATACACTTCAAAGGGTTAGGGTTTCCTATACAGAGGCATTGTCAGAATGGGGGAATTAGCTTATGGCTATTCAGGTGTTTGGCCAGTAGGAGGAAATAGCATGTAGATTAAGATGTCCTGAGCTGTCTGGCAGCAAGCAATCATCCCTTTTCAGGTTTAGGGAAATGCCATCAGCCATTCCCAACAGGTGACAACATATGTGGCTCAGCCCTTGTTGAGTTCCCAAGTTCCATCAACCTTTCGATGAAAGTCTTGAAATTATAACATGTTAGAATTGGCTTCTGGCACTGCTATTTGAATATTGTTTGGTTTCATGTTGTCCCACAGCTCTCTTAAGCTGTCCTCTTATTTTTTAATTGTTTTATTTTTTTTTATTTTTGGTCCTCTGATTGAGTGATTTTTTTCAACCCTGTCTTCCAATTCACTGATTTAGTTGTCAGCTTCCCTTAATTTGCTGTGTATTCCTTCCAATGTGTTCTTTATTTGTGCTGTGTCATTCTTTATTTGTTTTCATAGTTACTATGCTGTTGAGAATCTTTACCATCATTATTCTGAACTCTGTATCAGATAAATTTCTTATCTCCATTTCATTTATCTCTTCTTCTGGAGAATTCTCTTGTTGTTTCATTGGGGGTTGTTTCTTTGTCTCCTCATTTTGTCTTCCTGTTTGGGTTTGTGACTATGTATTAGGTAGATCTGCTATGCCTTTAAATCTCTATTGCAGGCCAGTGTCAAACACTGTTTCTGACTAATTAGATCAGGAAAAGACTCAAAGCTTCCAGAGACTGCCTCTGGCTGCAGACTGATAGGATTGCCTCTTGAATAGCTCTCAGGCAATCATCCACGGATCTGGTGGTTTTTTTTTTTCCAATAGGGTGGGGCAATTGCTTCTGCAAGGAGGATAATTATTATTCTCTTAAATGGCCTCAGAAACTCTGCACCATGGGGTAAGGTGTTTTCCAATAGGGTGGGTCACCTATCTTCCCTACAGGCACAGCTGCCTGTATAAAAATGTCTGCATAAGAAAGATGACTTCTGCAGCATGAGGGAATGACTCAGCTCCAGAAACCAAGGTGTCTGTCTCCTGAGTTCTAACCCCAGAGCTCCTGATCCTCACTTTTGCTTACACAGCTCCAGTCCACTCTGTCCTCCCTCTGCTGGACCACAAGGTGAGTTGCTCCACAGAGAATTTTGTGCATTGGCCCTTTAGTAGGGTACCTGCATTTCCAGCCATTTCTCCCTGGCAGACAGCAACCCGCTGCTTTTCACAGCCTTATGTTATGTGGCTACCCTTCTTAGTTCTGGTGCTCTCTCCTGGAGTGCCAAGCTTGAGGATTAGACCCCAGAATTCTCAGTGGCAAACCCCACAGTTGAGATATCTCTCCATAACTTTAGTTACAGTCTGTGGGAGCCCAGCCAGTCCTTTCATGACTCTGCCCCTCCTACCAGTCTCTATGCGGTCTCCACTTTCCATCCTCATTTATCTGGATTCTCTCCAGTGAGTCTTCTGTTGATTATGCAGGAATATATTCTGTATTTTAGTTGTACTTCCTGTTTGGTCTTGGGAGTTTGTCCCTGCAGCACCCAATTACTCCTCCACCATTAATTTCTGTTTGTTCTTATTTATGACATTATCACATTTCCTAATACAACTTAAATAGAATATTTCACCAATATTGCCTCCTTAAAATGACAATTTCATCACTAAAACATAAATGAAAATAGAAACAAGTACTTACTCACAATATCACTTCCCCAGAACAGAAGGACAGCCAACATTGGGAAAATAATAGTAAGCACATAGTCATTTGCAGAAAACCATAAAGCTGGGAAGAAAAAAAACCCCACAAAAATCATGATTAATATTTATATCATAAATTTATGTCCAGCCAATTAATGGTCAACAGTGTTATTTATTGTGGAGATGGAAAATTAAAATAATAAGTTAAAACTGTGGTCTTATATAAATACATAAATAATTACAGATATATTTAATTAAATAACAAATATTAATGAAACAAAAAAAAGTTAAGTATTTTCCACCACATTTTCCTTAAGCTGTGACTTATGGAAAGAGGTAGTATACCCCAAGAGCTAAGAAAAGGGCTCCACAGCCACATTTCCTGGGTTTGAAACACAATTCTAACTTGCAATTTGTGTGATCTTGGACAGTCTAACACCTTTCTGTTCTTGAGTGGCTACAACAAGTAATGACACCTTGAAGGACTGTAGTTAACTGTTAACAAAATTAAGATATGAAAATGGCTAAAAACAAAGCTTGACCCCTCAAAGTGCTCAGTGAACACTAACTGCAGTTATTATTATGGGGTCCTGTAGTGATTGCCTGTATGTATAATGTGCCAAGAATTTACCTCAAAGGAATAGTTATCTTCCTGTAAAGACTGACTCAGGGGACAGGAGTGAGGAAGTAGTACAACTGGGTACCCTACACTTGGTCTTATTGTGACCTAAGAGTAAGACAGATGTGAGCCTGAGCTTTTCTGAAACTTACTCTGGAACAGAGGATGAATTCATAAATAATTAGTCTTAAAATGACTGCTGACAAAAACTAACATGAGGAGCTTTAGGTAGTAAGGAAGCTTCTATCAAGTGGAACATGTGTTACCCAAACAATGAAAATGCAGCTACCCATCCTATAGGAAGGAAATTGTGATATTAAGACTTCTAATGAAATTTGCTGAGAACTTTAAAAAATTATGTTTAATTGCATCTGATCAATGCTCAAGGCCATGTTTTTATTGATGAAATTTCTCCTATAACAATAAAGCCAGGTATATGCACTGAAAGCCTTTCAGAATTTGCCTAGACTGGAGGACTTGCTGGGTGAGGAACACTTCTGAATAGTGCACAAGGCAAGCACTGGCGTTGCTCTGAAATGATCCCTTTCAAAATCTCCACTGTATCCACATGTGAGGATCCTTGTGGGCTTTCACACCATAATGCTAGTCACACATTTCTTGGGTTAAGCTTATAATGCTAAACTCTGGTAAATGTTCACAGTCTCCCCAGAATATAACAACACTATCAATTCTTATCTTAGAGATAGTAGCTTTCCAGATTCCAGCATTTTGCCCTGTACATGGCAGAGATTCAATACGTTTATTATTGATGGTTGATATAGTCATAGGTTGAAATATTGAGTGAATAGAAGACAAGCTTTTGTGATGCTCCCATGGTTGCAGATCCACCAAGAGACTGATGTTTTCAGGTACCCTGAATCAATGCCACTTTAATTTACAACTGAATTACTGAATCTCTTCCTATACCAAAGGAAGAACATTTCCATTCAGCCTAAAAATCCTATACGAAAAACCTTTCTGAATTATGCGTAGGTTTTCATATGACTGAAGGATCTAGTAAAAGCTCTATAATCTACTGACTATTTTTAATTAACTTCTTTTCCTCTACCCACTTTATTATTTGGTTTTGAGTTGGAAACATTAACTTCCCAATCCTTATAATTATTATATGAAGAATTATGAACCCCTCCTTACCACTGAAAAAATGGAGATACAGTGAATTAAGGATCTTAAGTATGTATGACCCAAACTGCATCTTGATACCCCTCTAAGCACACCCGAAAAGAAAACAAAGATTGGCCACCATTAATCCACATTCAACTAGGTAGAATTCTCTATTAAGCAATTTCTAGTTGTCATTTATGTTTATATAGAGGCCTAGTGCACGAATTCATGCACCAGTGGGGTCCCTCAGCATGGCCTGCGGGATTGGGCCGAAACCCGCTCTCCGACATCCCATGAGGGATCCCAGATTGTGAGAGGGCACAGGTCAGGACCAGAGACCCCACCAGTGCATGATTGGGGTCAGGGAGGGACTGTGGGAGGGCTCCAGGGCATGTCTAGCCCATCTCTCTCAGTCCCAAACAGCTACAAGAAGCAAGCTAACCTACCTGTCAGAGTGTCTGCCCCCTTGTGGTCAGTGCACATCATAGCAACCGGTTGACCAGTCGACTGCCCCCTGGTGGTCAGTGCATGTCATAGCAAGTGGTTGAGCAGCCTTAGCATATCATTAGAATATTACGCTTTCATTAGTTGAACGGATGACTGGATGACCAGACACTTAGCATATTAGGCTTTTATTATATAGGATTTGCAAAAAAAAAAAAAAAAAAAAAAAAAGCACAACATAGTAAAAATTGATTCCACTGCCTAAATCCCCAGGATTCACATGATGGGAAAATTCATCAAAATAAATTTGTAAGAACCCTGCTTCAATTAACCGTTTTGGGCAGAAGAATTTCTTTCTATTCCCTTAAAAAATGGTGCAAAACTATGACAATACCAGATGCTGGCAATGATGTGGGGGAACTACATTACTCATATGTTGCTGATGGGAATGTACAATGGAACAACCACTCTGGAATACAGTTAGGCAGTTTCTTAAAAAACTAAGCCTATACATACATACAATCCAGGAGTTGTAGTTCTATGCATTTATCCAGAGAAATGAAGACTCTGTCCACATAAAAAACTGTACATGATGGTTTATAGAAATGTCATGAGCAGTAGCACAAAACAACTGAAAACAACCAAGACGTGCTATAGTGGGTGGCTGGTTCAATAAGGTGTGATATACCCATAGCATGGAATGAGAGAGAGAGAGAGAGAGAGAGAGAGAGAGAGAGAAATTGCTAATGATGCTGTTGCATGACATGATTGGGGTCTATAATAGATAGGGGTCTATAACAGATCTATAATAGATCTCAAGAGCATTGTGCTGACTGAAAAAAAAGCCAGTCTCAAAAGATTACATACTTATACATAAAATTTTGGAAATGACCAAAGTATTGATATGGAGAACAATTTGTACTTAACAGGTTAGGGATAGTAAGGGAGCAGGTGACTATAAAGGACTTGCATGAGGCAGATATTTGTATTAATAAGATAGTTCTATATTCTGATTGTGGTGGTCATTACAGCAATATACACATGTAATAAAAAGAAAAAGAAATATATACCCATTGTACTATTGTGAACTGGGTGGTTTTGGCACTTAACTTCTGTTACATAAAATGTAACCACTGGGGGAAGCTGGGTAAGAGTACACAGCACCTCTCTATTCAATCTTTGAAACTTCATGTGATTCTATAACTCTTTCAAAAAATAAAAATGGGTGCACAGGCAAATGTCTGAGTCTCTGGTAAAATCTTCTACATTCTCTAGAACAAAACACCACTTTCACATTTTAACGGCCCCAACAGTAACCAGAGTCCATATTTTATCAGGGGACTTTGAAAACAAAGATGAAACAATCACACGGAAAATTACAAACTTTGTCTTTATCCCAGAGATTGGTATTCCTTTCCCATCCACCTTCATCCCATCTCATGGCCTTTAAGTCTCGAGTTTACAATTCTCTCAGTGACCTACATTCTACTCCATAAACACCCTCCCCACTGTGAGTTAATGAGATTTTCAATATGGAGAGATTTTTGAGCAGAAAAGCCTTCCAAATTCTGCTCTTAGCCATCTCCTGCCCATGCTGCACCACACAGACACCCCTCTCATGACACCCCAGCTTCAACATCTCATTCAACTTCATAAAATAAATGTCCCAGGATGACAGCTAACATTTGTAAAGTACTGTACTTTGGTTTGAAAAGGACTGGTCCACAAGGGATCTCATGATGCTTGTTAGACTGGAGAACACATGAAAGCAGGAATCTCTTTTCATCCCCATTGTAGAGATGAGGTAATTTGGACCCAGTGAAGTAACTTCTCAAGTTCAATAGAGGCAAATGGTTAAGTTGAAGAATCAGATGTCCTGATTCCTAATCCTAAACAATGTCAAAGTATTCCATCAGAATAAACACCCCATTTCCAATCTGGTAATAGACATTTCATAACAGGAAACGCTAGAAGAATAGAAGGCAAATAGTTGATTCAATTGAATGGTCTGATCCCATCTAAATCAGAGGTTCTCAAAGGCTTGTCTAATCCTGAGAGCAGTAATATGACTAGTGGTTCTAAATAGAGCTTTCAAAATAGAAAGTCAGTATGCACCTGTATGTGGTTAAAGTAATCGGCTGGCATGGCAAGGACTAGAAAGAAAGCAGATTGTTTACTTCAGCTAGCTTTACTGCTTTATGCAACTCCCCAGCCCAAGTCTGCTAAGAAAGGCACAATCATGGTGCTATAACCAAGGCTGAATTCAAATTAATTCTATTAGATCCCTAGCTCTCCCTCATCTTGACCAAGAAAAAGAACAAACACCATAGCAGGAAACATCATTATGACCTGATTTTTGATTTTGTGATTCTCCTTCTAATCTATCCTTTCCAGCTGGAGCATGGCTGGGATTTGTCAGTCCTTGACCAAAGTGCAGGTAATAAAAAAAGCTACATCATTGGAAAGATCATGGAATATTAATTACATGAAAGATAGTACTTTTGAGAGCAGCAAACAGAAATGCAAATTAAATGAAACTAGCACCCCTACACTAGCAGAATAGTGCTCAGAACAAAAGTATGAGAACCTGATAATATGGAAATAACAAACAGCAAAGGAGTTTTATTATGAAAAGTAGAAGAGAAAGTAAAACTCATGATCTTAAAGCTGCTAAACATTGCATAATCATCTGTTAGTCATAATCTACTTTTTCATTCAAAGGAGTTCCTCACCCAATTTGCCCCCATTTCTCATAGTATTCGGCCACTGCAGGACAAATAAAAGGGAAGATTATGAAATTCTTACCAATACGATATTTTAGTTCTATGGTGGTTTCGCCTTCTCTAGTTAATTCTGTTACTTCACAAGTGTAGTTTCCTGGGACAGCATCGCTCTTG